CAGAGGCTGGCCCTCTGTCCACGGTGCCCCGATGCCTGGGAACCCATTCAATAGGAATAGTGGCTATTGTTCAGCTCCTCTGAGGTCTCTGACTAGAGCCTCGACATGGCTCTCAGAAGTTCTACAAATGTCATTATCCTCACTTTACAGACGGGGCCACCAAGGCTCCTCAGGCCCCCACAGCCAGTAACATGTCAGAGGCAGGCCCTGAGCCACATCCCTCCTGCCTTCAGGCCCAGCCTCTTTCCACTCTAGCCTTGCTCTCTGTGGGCATAGAAGAAGCAACCTTTGCCCTCCTTGCAGAAGCACAGAGAAGAAGGACCCCTGACCCTAAATCCCCTTCAGGACTGCAATCCAGACAGAGTCTACCCATGTCCAAAACTCCCTTCTAGTTCAGACCCTCAGAAGTGAGGGCCACTGCCAGGCAGCAGTGGGGGGACCCTGCATGGGCATGGGGGGGTGAATTCCTTGCTGGTAAATCTCTGGCTCTACTCCTAGGACCAGTTTCAGAACCACCAGCCCCAAGCCTATTAGAAGCATGGGAAAAGTGAGGGCCAATGGCAACAGCCCAGATTAGGCCCTTTCCTAAGGTGGGTCAAGGGAACAGGATCTGTACCTCAGGACGTAAATAAAGTAGGGAGCTGTGTGGCCAAAGTCAGTAGCTCATTGGCCCGAGCTTGCTGAATGGGGCAGCAGGGCTGTCCTGGACCAGGCCCACACCAGGCTCCCAAGCCAGCTCAGACCCTACTGGGCTCTTACAAAGCCTGGCCTGAGGAGGGAGGCTTTGCCTTGGCCCCAGGGCACTGCCCATCAATGTACTGGGAGCCAAGAAGAAGGGATGCAGCAACAGGGATTCTGCCTGCAAGGAGTGGCCCCCAAAACAAACCTCTTTTTTTCCTCTCTGCTGCTCTGATGCATTGCCCTGAATGACATTTTCCAGGCCTGAGTCGGAGTCTCCTCACATCTCACTTGTAGCATCTTCTCCAGGGCCTGAGACACAGACCAGGAGAAGAAACCCTTAGGTCTAGCCTGGCAACAGGAAGCCCACCCATGGGCCTCCATGGGTCCCAGACTGAGATCTAATTAACCAACAAACATTTATTAGGTGCCTGCTGTGTGCTGGGCTCTGGGGTTGGTTCTGGGCCTGCAGAGACCACACAAAGAAAGAACCCCTTCCCTCAAGCAGTGTTCTTATCTCTACATATAGAAGTATAGGCCAACCTTTTTATTGACATAAGGGGAAACCCAACCCCAGGAGTAGGGAAAGGACTTACCCAGGGTCACATAGGAGTGAGCAGGGATTGGAACTCAGGGCCAGCCCTCCCCCAGTGCCCCATTTCACCAGCTCTGCATTCTCTGCCTCTGGGAATCTTTGATTAGTGTCAGGGCCTGGAGGAGAGCATGGATGGACACACCTCATTAGGAGAATGAAAGGGTGGTGAAGATGTTAAAGGAATTGGAGTGATTTAGATTCAAAGGAGGAAAACCTCAGGAGAGAGCCAGGAGAGTTTCTCCAGGGTTATCTCAGAGGAGGGAGGAGGGAGGGTGGAGAAGGGAGTAGGGTGGAGGAGAGAGGGGGAGGGTGGAGAAGGGAGGAGAAGGGTGGAGGAGAGAGGATTATTCCCTCCTCTTCTCAGATGCCCAGGGAACCCAGAAAAGGGGTTTGAGTCACAGCCAGGGGGATTTAGGGCAGACTTGCCCAAGCCAGAACACCTGGCTCTAGTCCCTGTTTAGCTACTGATGGAGCTCCTTGAGTTCACCTGTAAAATGCTTGGCCTGGAGGATCCTCCCCACCGCACCCCTTACCCCAGCTTCTCCGTGTGGTGGTAAGAAAGGATTCATGTGTTCAAGGCCTCTGCCCTGGGTGCTGGGCACCGAGCAGCTGGGCTTCACCTCTGCCCCCTCTCTGTTGGCACCTCTCCTTCCCACCCTCCCCCTTGCGAGGGTATTTGGGGTGTCTCCATCCCGGGCAGGCCCATTTCTCTGCCCATACAAAGTCTGAAATGACTTATTTTGTTACTTTGTTGGAAAAACCTCACTGGGAAAATGGCTGCCCATCCAAAATCAACATTTCAGCCCAGGAAGGTGGCTCTGATGCCAGGAACTTCTTTGTGTGGGCCAATGGCAAGGAGTCTCGCTGTGGACGCGCCCTGCCGATGGGCTAGGGGCTATGGGAAATTGAAATCCCTGGTCACCCTGCCATGGTCACACTGGCAACTCAGAGGCCGGCCTCCTAAAAACGAGGCCAAGGCAGACTCCATTTGTGTCCTTGGAACATGATGGAAATGAGAGAAAGCCTCTACATCCCGAGAGTGTTTCTGAGGCCCTGGAGTCCCCTGAAGCCTTTGCCAAGGGAGGCCATGCAACAGCAGGCCCTTTGCTGCCTCCATGCCCTCTGGCCACTTCCCTGAGTGGGCAAGGCTCCAGAGGACAGATGGGGCTCTGGGGGCACCCCCAGGAGTGGCTGAGAGCAGTACCAGCTGTAGGGAGGAGGTGGCCGATCTCCGGGGTGAACAAATCTCACTCTTGGTGACAGTACAACCGGGGTCTTGGACGGCAAGAGATACTGAAGCAAAATCTGCTAAAAAGCTGATTTGGCCGCAGCCCTTCCCCATCCTGGGCACCTTCCCGTGGACTCTCATTAGCTTGTCAACGTCCTCCCGCAGAGCTGAGTGACTGCTTGAAATGTCCCTGGATGGGGCCAATTGCACGGGGACTCTGAGGACTGGGGGTGCTGGACACATCTTCAGAGGCCCAGCAGGTTCCCTGGGAATGACACATGGGTTGATGCCAAGGAACCCTGACGGTTTTTCCCAGGGCTCAATAAATCCAAATGAGATCTTAAGATCTAGAGCTGATAGGGACCCGAGAGACCACCAACTCTCATCCCAGGAAATAAGTAGTAGATGTGAGATTTGAACCCAGATCTCTGGATTCCAAATCCAGCACTCTCTGAAAGTGCTCAGAGGGACTGTCATGTTCTGGCTTCCTCAGGCAGTGATTGTCTCATGCACACTAGGATTCTGAGCTCTCTCTCCATCTGTGCAGGTGCCCCCGGCCAAGGCTGCAGCCTTTCTTAGCACTCTAGGACAAGACTCCACCATCTGCGAAAAGCAGATGTTTCTTCTGCTCCTGAAAGCTGCGGCGATGAAAAGAGAACCAGTCTGTTGTTCCTCCTCGGGAGGGCGGGGAAGAGCACCCAGTCCCAAGTACAAAAGTCTTTGTCCAAAGAGACGGAGTTGGTCATCCTCCTTTGTCCATATGGACGTTGAGTTGGCTCTTTGGGACCTTGTGGGTCCCCTCTCTTTTAGGTAGCCTCACTCTTATCTATCCTCCTTTCTGTACAATCAGGGAGCATCTTTCCTCATCCATCGTCTCTGATGAGTCTTCTCTCCCTGGCCAGCTCCAATGTGGCCAAGGAAGGGCCACGGGCTCCCAGACACCTCCACGCAGGCTTCGAGTCGGGAATCATTTCAGCCTACTTTGTTCCTACCTCTAAGCCGTCAGTGCTGATGCCCCTTGTGGGGGCCACAGGTCTTGGGGAGCAGGCCCATCTGGGGAGACAACAGGTAAGAGCTCCCCCTGGGGGGAGGCACCCGCTGCCGGGAGCCAGGGGAGGGGAAAGAGGAGGAATGGGGCCCTGGGGCTGCCAACCAAAAGCAGGGGTGAGGGCACATGGTGGGGCACCAGAATGGAGCCCCAGAGGTGGAAGGCAGGAGCAAATGAAGGAGGTGTCATAGATGTGGAGAGGTCGACAAAGGACGAGAGCCCAGGGGAGAGAGGGGCTGGGGCTGGGGCTGGAGAGGAGGCTCGGGAGTCATCTGAATGGAGATGGGATGATGGGAAGGCATCCAAGATGACCCCCAAGGCTTCCTTGGGGTTGGCCAGGAGGATGATGGGACCGTGGGGGAGGGGAGGCCAGGAGGATGTGGGACCTCTTCCTAGGGGAGGAGGGTCTATGCCTGACATTTTCTCCACTGCACCACACTGCCTTTGAAAATCATCAATCAGCCAGTATTTATGAAGTGTTTCCTGGGTGCTGGGCTTGGTTCTAGCAGCCAGGGATACAAAGGAACATGGCCACATCGATGTACAAAAAGACATGTTAACGGGTGGGGAGGGAAGAAGCTTGGGAGCTGGGCAGGAAGGGGTGGGGTTACCATTTTGGACAGTGTCCAACTCCCTAGCAGATGCCCATAGGCTCTGACCAGGCCATCCAAAGGCTTTGGTTCACAGCCCAGAGCTTAGACTACCTTGTGTTTGGAGGGGGGGGGGGCCCAAGCGGGGACAATGTCATCAAGGCCAAGGAAAGAACACACACTTCTAAGAACTGGCTGATTTCTGGGTGATCTCAGATGGACATTCAGTGAGCAGACAGACCTTTCTGTTCCCATTTGGGATAAAGCCAGCTGGCCATGCGCCTGGCTCTCGCTTAGGTAGCCCCTCTCCTCGGGCTCTCCTTGCACCCGACCAGTCATAGGAGTGTCTGCTGGGTCCCTTTGGGGCCTGGCTCCTTCCCTTCAAAGGACACTCAGTCCCCTTTCCCCTTCACCAGAGCAGTGACAAGTGTCTCTGTAATAAGTGTGGCATGTACATGCCTGCCTCGCATATATGTTCACACATGTACCTATGTTCTGTATCCTGCATCAGACCCTTTGACTGGAGGCTGGGGGTCTTGGTTCTAAGCAGCCAGCATGGTTCCTTTCCCCAGGGAAGGGGATTTTACAATGTTCCTGAACTAAAAAGTCAGTGTCTATGCAGCCCACAAACCAGATGGGCCCTCGATACCCAGCGTTTTGTCTGAGGCGCTGGCTAGGGATCTGGGCGCCGAGCTGGTATCCTCGATCAGGAGCCTTCTGAGCGCTTCGAGCTCACTCCCCCTACTCGAGACCAGCTCTCAGTTTTCCAGGGAATCGGTGACCTGTATGTGTTGTGGGCACCCGGACTCCCATCCCCACCCCCCCCCCCCCCCCACCCGCCCCCCCCCCCGTGCAGCTGACCTGGAGGAAGGTTCCTGCTGGTTCCTTTCCAGAAGCCTCTGACAATCTGAGGACACTGCAGGTCCCAGATGACCTCACCTTTGTCGTCAGCATCTCCCACAAGTGAAGAAGGGAAGGCGGCTAGGGATGAGGAATGAGACAGAGGAGCTGGGACCCGCTGTCTTTGTGCACTACTTCGTGGAATGATCTCAAGGAGGCCTCCGCCATCCTCCCCCTGAGCCCAAGCCCCTCATTGGACAGGACGGGAAATAGAGGCCCAGGCAGCGGAAGGAGCTTGCCTAGAGCCACACAGGAAATGAGTGTTAGCGTCTGGCTTCGAATCGCGGCCCTCTGACTATAAGCCTGTACCCTGCCGCCTCCCAGACATTGCATAGTCCCCGTCCTCAGGGGCCTTACATCCCCTCGGGGCGTGTGATCTGCCTAGAGTGTCAGAGGCAGATGCGGAGAAAGGGGAGAGCAGACCAAGAGCTCCATGCAGTGAGGGGCGAGGGGTTCAGAAAGGCTGGGGGCCTGGGGACGCCTTGCAGAAGTGCCTGGCGCATGGATCACACACCTCGTACAGGGCAGAAGCAGTACGCGAACCCGCGGCTTCCTCTGCGTGCCTCGGGTCTGGCTGTACTGACCTCATCCTTCTCCAGGGCTGTCTGCCCGTCCGTCTGAGCTAAGACTTCCAGCCAACCCCCGGCTGCTATTTTTTTACCTGCGTGATCTCAGGCATGTGACTTCCCCTCTCTAAACCTTAACTTTCTCATCTGTGAAATGGGAGGAGATGTGTGCCCTAAGGAGGATCAAAGTCCTCGGAGGCTGTTTCTCAGCAATCTCCAGGGTGCTGAAGCCCCACGGGCGGCTCCCAGACCACATCCTTCCCAGCCGCGGGCTCATAAAGCTGAGATGCCTCACATTCCTCAGTTCTGATTGGTGGGCCCGGGCGGCCAATGGCCTTGTCCTGAGCCGAGACCCTCCCCTGTGCTGGTTGCCCAGGCCAGAAGAATGCTGTGCTCCTGCCACGAACGCGATGGACTGTGACCTCGATCTCATTATGAGCTTGGATCGCAGCAGGGGCAGGATTTCTCCCCTGATAGAACACCACGTCCTCGCCACGCCACTGGGCCTTCCACCCTGGAGGACGCCTCTCTCTTTTCCCGCTGGGGCTGCTGCTCTGGGAGCTCAGCCGTCTGGGGCCTGGCCTGGGACTGAGGAGCCCAGCTTCTTGTCTCCCAGTTTTTCTCCATAAAAACCCAAATAACGTCAAGTGCTGAATTCCTGAAGCTAAAAATAAAACTGTAAGCCAGCTAAGGCACAAACACCCGGGCCAAGAACTTCGTGACCGCGGCAGCCCCGCTGCAGACCCGCGCTGGGACCGAAAATCTGCCCCGGCCCCTCCGGGGCAGGCAAGAGGCGGCTGATGGCTCTTCTGGCGCCGCCTGCTTATAACCCACTAGTTTTCATTTCGCCATCTCCCAGGCATGGGCGTGGATGTCTTTGTAGAGCAAGGCAAAGGTGTCCTCCCTGGCACGTCCGAAAGAGAATCCCCTAGAATAACCAGAGAAAGATTTCCCTGTGAACGCAAAGGAGATTCCAAGAGACAGGATGGATTAAAAGCCAGACCTGGGCTAGCATCGAGTACCAAGAAAGCAGGTTCACAGGAGGAAACCCGGGTGCCAGAGGGAGGAGCGCCGTGGAGAGCGTTTGGGTGGAGATCCATGGAGGCAGAAACAGAAAGGGATTTTTATAGATTACCTGGACAGAACAGATGAGGAGCTTGGAAAACACATCACAGGCCAGGCACAGAGTTAGGGGACTTCAATTATACAGATATCTGCTGGATTTCGATCTCAATCTCTCTTTCTCTCTCTCTCTCTCTCTCTCTCTCTCTCTCTCACACACACACACACACACACACACACACACACACCTTCTACCCCCTCTTTCTCTTGGTCTCAGGCTTTCTCTAGAAGAAAACAAAATGAAAACTACGCTATGCTTACCATATCTCTCTCAGGAAGCTTCTGCCAGAAACAGACTTTGTAAAAGTTAAGATCCTCTGAACCAAAGACGAAGGGGGTGCTCATCAATTGGAGAATGGCTGAACAAGTTATAGAATATGGACCATAATGCAAGATTACTCTGCTGTAAGAAGGGAGGAAAGGGACAGTCTCCAGAGATACTTAGGAAGACTTGTATGAACTGATGCAGGTGAAGTGAGCAGAACCAGAGAACCATTTAGACAGTGACAACAACGTTGTACAAGCTTCACCTCTGTGGTTCACTCCAAGTGGGGATGAAGTTGGCTCCCCACCTCCCATCAGAGAGACACACATTTTTGGATGTGGCTAATATGGGCATTTGTTTTGTTTGATTGTGCATGTTGGTTACAAGGGGGTTTTTTTAAATTATTATTTTCTCAGCAAGGGGAGAAGATGGGAGGGAGAGAAAATAAATATTTAGTTATTTAAAAATTAATTTAAAAAAACCACAAAGTCCTAAAGAAATGGGATGTGTCTTTGCTATGATTGCTGTGTTCCCTCAGTGGGACCACTTGTCTCTCCTCCACTCCAGGTTTGGCTGCAGGCACAGATGAGGACTCCTAGCAGCTGTCTGTGCTTCCCAGTTCCACCTTCTTCCATCTCTTCCTATAGCACATCTTGGTTCTCTGGCTCTGGGCTCACTCTCACAATGAATGCTTAGGAAATGGGGGTACCAGGCTGCTCCTGGATCCTACACCTGAAATGTTGTCTGCTGAAGCCTTTTGTTCTCAGAGTACACCCACAGATTCTTCTAAAGCTCCTCAAGCCCCAATTCAATTCAGCAAAAATGTATTAAGCACATACTGTGTACTCAGACAAATCAAAAGGCCCTGCCCTCAAGCAGCTTATATTTCCCTGGGAGGGCAAGCATGCATTCACTGTCTCTCCTCCAGCTCAATAAATCATCCTCACTTGCAGAGCTAGCTGAGTCCCTGTCTCCTTACATCTTCCCAACAAATGGAAGGGAGACCCTTAAGGGGGGACTAAGGGATGGAGGAGCAAGAGAAGGAAGCAGCCCCCTCCCCTAGCGCTGAGCTCTGCACCTTCCCTGGCCTGGACCCAGGGTCAGAATTCAGCGCCGCCTGGCTCCAGAGGCCGCTTGGTTGTGAAACTGCTGCAGCGCTGATGGTTCACTGAGGATTTCTAGTTCCCCAACACGCTGCACCGAGGGACAGAAAGGCCACTTCATTCGTTCATGGCTGGTTTTGTTCATTCAGGCCCAGCCAAGGCGGGCCTCCAGCAATCACTGAACATGATAGAAGGAGGTGCTCGGTACTATAGAAGGAGCAGCAGCCTTGGAGCCCGAGGCCCTGGGCTGAAACCCCATGTCGACCACTCCATCCCTGTGTGCCCCACACTGTACCTCGGTTTACTTTTCTGTCAAAGGAGGGGCTCGAACCCGATGAGCTGCTGGGCTGAGTCCCCATCGGCTCTCGTGCTGGGCTTGGATGCCTGGGACAAAGAAGGAGGGAGGGGGCAGGGTGAGTGAACATCTTTGGGCCTTGGTAGGTTCCTGGAAAACCTGTTTTGGGGACCTCTGCATGTGAGAAAAGCATCTGTGAAAGGCAAAGGTGTCTGGGGACCCCATCTCCTGCCTCACGCTATCCATCCCCCTTTCTCTGGAGAGGCCTCCTGAGGGGCCTCCTTGGCTACCTGTCCTTAGTGCAGGAGGGACATTGGCCTCTCCAAGTCCAGCCGGGGAGCATGAGCTCCAACCAGCCCTCAAGCCGGAAAGGCAGCAAGCACAAGCCTGCCAGGCTGGCAGAGGGCTCCTCACCGGCTGCAAGGGGATAAAGATTTGGCCAGCCTCGAGGGGGCATCAGCTGTGCTCTGTCTGGGCTGGCTAATTCTGCTTTTCAAAATCCCCAGCTAGTGGTCGCTGTCCACCCCTCCCTTTCACCAGGGTTCCAGTTTCCAGCCAAGCCTCAGACTGGGATTCTGGGAATCTGGGACTCAGGGAACCTGCCAGACAAGCTCAAAGTCCATGAGTCACTCAGCTGGTGCCACCTCCTGACACTGCAGCCACGGGAACGACTTGAAATGTTGTTCCCAAGGACTTTTTCTTTTTGGATGAAAGCATTTATTAAGTGCTTACTGTGTTCCAAGTCCTATAGAAAAACAAAAGCAAGGCTAGACCCTGCCCTCATGGAGCTTCCATCCTAACAGGGGAGATGGCCCACATAGGACAGTGACAGCCAGCCAGGAGCCAGCACTTACCTGGACGGTGAGTGGAGCCAAAAGGGAGTAGGTTGGCACCCCCCATCCGGGAACCATGACAGTCCATTTGATCACAGTTCCAGAGCTGGAGAGGTGGGGGCAGGAGGTACCCACTTGATGGCCAATTGTCTGACAAGGTTGGTGAGGAGACAGCCGTGAGATGTGACTAGGTCTGCCTGAAACACAGGGCTGGGTAAGGCCACTGCCAATCAGGACCTATGCCCATTTTTAAAAATTGGGTTTGTGTCAACCCCAACACACACTTACCTCATTCTGCAAATGATGGAGGACTCTTGACAGGCTGGAATGAGGGGCATGAGAGGCCAAGCCGGGCACAGACCTGGCCACCAGGCTGGGGTGGGGGGGCATGCACCAGTCAGGACCCCGCCCCCTCTTTACACTGGAAAAGCCCTTTCCCACCCAAGCCCCATGAGTCCTCCTGTCCAGGTGATCTGGCCCAATCCAAGGTCACAGGCCACTTCAACACTCAGACGCCTTTCTTTGGATCTTGGGCCGAGAGATTTATAGCAGCACAAACTGGCGGACAACAAAAGAGAAATTCTCTCTGTTTCTAAATAAAGTCCTCTGCCATGCTTCAGTCTCTGCTCACACATGGAAAAATGCCCTCCTGTTCCTTCTCCCCAACAGCTGGCCTGCGGCTTTTGTGTCTGCCTGATACTGGTCCCTCAGACTCCTGGGGTGTGCAGGAATGTTGGGGGGGGACACTTTACAAAGCCCCCTCCACATTGCCGTCTCAGGGACACTGGGGCAGGGCATTACCGCCCCAACTGTGGCAGCACACAGAGACCCCAAATTTAGAAATTTAACCAAAAGAATTCCACATTCTCAGCTTTTGCCATTTTCCGAATTTTTCAGGGAAAAAAGCTCCTTCCCAAAGCCCTCCCTAACCCTAACCCTGTGACACTACCATCCAATGTCCTGCGGCATACAAAAAAGGGGAGGCTTAGAGAGCTGTCTCACCACCTGAGCCAAGTGTTGGGTCTCTCTCTGGTGCTTTGTCACAGCAGAGGGAGGAAGGAGGGAGGGAGGGAAGAGGGAGGGAGGGAGGGAGGGAGGAAGAAAGGGAGGGAGGAAGGAGGGAAAGAGGGAGGGAAGAGGGAGAGAGGAGGGAGGAAGGGAGGAAGGGAGGAAGGAGGGAGGGAGGGAAGAGGGAGGGAGGGAGGGAGGAAGAAAGGGAGGGAGGAAGAAGGGAGGGAAGGAGGGAAGGAGGGAGGAAGAAGGGAAGGAGGAAGGAGGGAAGGAGGGAAAGAGGGAGGAAGAAGGGAGGGAGGAAGGGAGGAAGGAGGGAGGGAGGGAGGATGGAGGGAGGAAGGAGCCCACACATCAGCCTTCCCAGGCACTGCGGTCATCCTAAGATTTCAGGCCAGATGGGCTCATCTAATCCAGCCCCTTTATTTCTTAGAGGAGGCAGAGGTCCCCCAGCTTGGAAGAGATCAGGTCAAGATTCAAGGCCAGGTCCTCAGACTCATCCTGGTGATGATGGTATGATGAGAAGGTGGATGGAACGGCCACTTGCCTGAGCATTTAAAGTTGGCAAAGCACTTTCCTCAGGACCACCCAGGGAGGGCATGGGCGGTGCAGGGATTATCAGTCCATTCAGTTTCATTCAACTCACCAAGCATTTCTTGACCCCATTGCACAGAGGAGGAAACTGAGGCACATCCTGCCTTGCATTTCAGTTCTTCCTGTCTATGTTGCTTCTCTCCCACTAGATGGTAAGTATCCAATGGGTAGGGACCAAACGCCATGGATCTTGTGTCATACCAGCTGCTCAGTAAGTGTTTGGTGAGAGCCAGACATAGTGAGAGGAAGGGAGGGAGGGAGGGAGGAGCAAACAGAGGCTCTTTCGGTTTGTAAATTGGACTAGAGGTTCAGCTCAAAAGTTGGTGATCTTGTGAGAGGGAGGGAAGAAGTGAGAATGAAGAAGGGACATAAGGAAGGAGGGAGGAAGGGAGTGATTTAAATTGCCCATCTCCAGCTTAGATTCTGTGGGAGGCTGGCCTGGGGCACTTCCTCATTCCCCCCCCTTTATTGGTGGAAGCAACTGCTCGGAGATTGTTGGATCCCTTGCAGACCCAGCCCTCCCCCAGTGGAGCAGCCCTGAGCAGGTGCCAGCTCCCCTGCACTGAATAGGGGGCGCTCCTCTCTTCTCTCTCAAGGAGAAGCTGCGGAGAGGTCTGCTCTGAGAGGAGCCGCTGACGAGGGCATCCAGCCACCAGAGGCCAGACCGTTGCCCCTACCTGTGCCAGGTTTGTGGTCGAGGTCACAGCCTTTGGGGTAACCCCGCTCCTGCACTCCCTCCAGCCCCAGCAGCAGGTGAAGGCCAAGAACACCTCCAGGATGGAAGGAAGAGGGGGAGAGGGGGAGGGGGAGGTGGGGGTGGGGCACCTACATCGAGCACCAGCGGGCAGTGGGGCCCAGCTTGGCCTGTCGCAGCTCATTCCTCAGAGCTGAGCAAAGCCCAGGGGGTGAGGGCCTGTCCTTCAGTATTAGAGCCGCTTCGTTGAGCGGGGCCATCTCCAGGTCACGAATTTCCCACTGGATTATCAGGCCCTGAAAAATGAATAGTCTGGGTGAATCAGAGGAGGAGTAGCTCCTCTCTGGTGGGGAGATCTCTGGGAAAGGACCCTGGATGGGGGTGAGGGGTGTGGAGCCCCAGGCTGAAGTCCCCGTTCTCTCACAAGCTCACTGTGCAACATCTCATCTCCCTGGGCTTCCTGTGACTGCTTGGACGCAATGCATTCCTTTCAGCCCTCAGTGTGCCGGACCCCCTACTCAGTCTTGATCTTAAGGCCCTTCCTGGGCTAGGCTCTGGGTCCTGGGGCCTAACCTGGGGTGAAGAGCACAGGGGAGGTGCCCAGGGCTTCTTGTACTTGTACTCCAATCCAACCTCCCATATGCACCCCCAGAGGGCCAGAGCCCCAGGACATGCCTTTCTTTAGAGACCTGCTCCCCCCTCACGAATCCACCCCCCCCAGCCTTGGTGGATGAGTTGATGGGTGGGTTGCCTCTTCCTCTCCTTGGCCCCCTCTTCTTCCTCACAGTCATCCTGCACCCCTGCCCTTCCCAGCAAGGAAGAAGACCAGCAGGGAAACTGCCTCCCTCCTCCTT